GGAGGGGGGGGGGGGGCGTACTCATTTGTTGCTTGCCGTAGTTATTGACCATTGACCACGCGTCCCTTTCGAGACGGAGCACCGTTCCTACCCCTACTAGAGACACCACCAACATTTGGGAGCTCTTTACGTTTCTGCCACACCCTACATAAAAATTTCTTGCACATCTTATCCCCGTCCTCTAGGGCCTCTTGTGCCCACCATCTATCCCCAATTATCGCGATCGTTTTTTCGCTGTTGTCTAATTTACCAAACTTGTCCATGTCACACCCTCTCTGTCTCATTTCCTCGTCGAGATCCTCTCTTTCCTTCCTGTACAACTCACACTCCCCAACTATGTGGGGTCTACTCTCCTCCGATTTGCCACATGGACATGTGTGTCTATCCTCCTCTTCCTCTCTCCTACGGCTGGTATACCTCCTCCTCCGTTCTGGCAAGTCCAGATCGCCTACTCGAAATTGCAATTTCAGCTTTTTCGCGTAGTCCATGGGGCCGTCCAAGTACGTCTTCATCCCTATCCCTTCTTTCAACTTCCCGTATATCTCCAAGTGGTCTTCGCTTCGTACCTTCTTCCGAAGGGTTGCCTCCTCCCTACTTTCTAGCATCTCCTTGACTTTCGTCTTGAACCCCCCGAACCCTTCCGTGTCCAACGTCTCCTCCTCGTCTCCTATCTCCTTCCAAACCTTCTCTACCACCTTGTCCCATCTGATTCCCTTCTTCCCTGGAGTCGCTTTTCCCCCAAGCTACCTTGTCAACCATGGCTGGTAGTCTATCGTCCGACATTCTACTTACCTTGTACTGCCACTTCAACTTCTGCATGTCTCTCTTTGTTTTAAGAGAGTATATTCCCAATTCTGCTCTCAATACAGTGTTGCTCGTTGTACTTGAACATCCTAGTATTTTTTTGGCCGCTGCCATCTGCACCGTTTCCAGCTGCTTGACGGCTTTTTCGTTATCTTCCCATACCTCTCCTGCATACTCTAGCTTAGGTACAATCACATTCAAGAGAATACACCTCTAATCCTAGTGTCTAGGTGTGGGTCCGTAAGGATCTCGTCCATCTTGCCTATCTGAGCTTTACCCTTCCCAATCAACTTCGCTATGTGTGCGTCCCATGAGCACTCCTTCGAAATCTCTACTCCCAGGTACGTATACTTGTCTACTACCGGTAGTTCTTCCTCCCCCCATTTCCATTTGAATTCTACGGGATTTTTCTTGTCTTCGTTACAGACCACTACTGCGCATTTTCCTACGTTCGCCGGCAGTCTCCATTTTCGGGTGTATCCTACCGCCGCATCTATTTGTTCTTGCAACCCTTCTGGTGTTTCGGATACCCCCACGAAATCATCTGCAAACATCAGTCCGGACACACTCTTTCCCCCTACTTGGACTCCCTGTCTTACTGCTTCAACCGCCCTTATCAAATCGTTGATGTAAATCTTAAAAAGAGTGGGTGACATCGTACAGCCCTGTGCGACTCCTTGGAGTATATCCACGTACTTCGAAATTTCCCCATCCAACATCACCGCACTTCTTGTGCATTCTGTCATCTTTTTCAACTTCCTCCACATTTTCCCCCGGATCCCGATGTCCCACATCTTTTTCCACAATCCATTGCGCCATACGGTGTCGTAGGCTTTTTGTACATCTAGGAAGAAACAGTATGTCGTGCGCCCGGCGTCCTTCCTACCTTGGATGATTTTACCTCACGTATATACCTGGTC